AAAAAAAAAAAAAAAAAAAAAAAGGAAGGCAGGATGGCAAAGCCCACATAACGACAATTTAACCCCTAAAATCAAAAGGTGTAAGTATGATAATTAAAACAGCAGGACTTTTATAGTAACCAGATCTCCGGTAATAGTCTAATTTCTAACTATGATTAATGGGATACCCAGGAATGAAATGAATAGGCAACTCATTAAAACCCTTTTTTTCCCAGTGGTTCACTTATTTTTTTTATTACCAAGTAGTATTCAATTGTAAGAATGTCGTATAACATGTTTATTAAACTCAAGTTTTTTGGGAGGCACCTGGTGGCTCAGTCAGATAAGCATCCGACTTCGGCTCAGGTCATGATCTCAAGGTTTGTGGGTTCAAGCCCCGCATCAGGCTCTGTGCTGACAGCTCAGAGCCTGGAGCCTGCTTCAGATTCTGTGTCTCCCTTTCTCTCTGTCCCTACCCCACTCGTGCTCTGTCTGCCTCTCTCTCTCTCTCAAAATAAATAAACGTTGAAAAAAAAATGTAAACTCAAGTCTTTTTTTTGAAATCTATAACTAAAAATATTCTAGGTCCATGAAAAAGAGGACTAACTCAAGCCACCATATAGACAGTCATGGCATCTCACTCATTTCCATACTTAAGTCAATTTACAGATTCACAGCCCCTTGAATAAAGACAACACAGTGTATAGATGTTGCTATAACACCACACATGCCTAATATAAATTTTCCTCAGATCCTTCCTTACAGGACCAATAGTCATTTATTCAGGTGCACTGAGGGAAGGGAAATACCTAAATTGTGTGAGAATGATGAATATTGGCTCAAGTTACTACTAACTCTCAAAGCCCAGAAATATACTATTGTTTCTAATTATGGAGACTCAGTAATAAATGAATTTTTTAACTTAGTTCAACCAGTGAGAGAGCAAAGCCAGCCTATGATTTCTCTCACCCAGTTTCTGAGAGTCTAAATGATATGTATTGCAGGCACCTGGGTGGCTCAGTTGATTGAGCATCCGACTTCGGCTGAGGTCGTGACCTCATGGCTTATGAGTTCAAGCCCTGCGTCCGGCTCTGTGCTGACAGTTCAAAGCCTGGAACCTGCTTCAGATTCTGTGTCTCCCTCCCTCTCTCTGCCCCTCCCTCACTTGTTCTCTGTCTCTCTGTCTCTCTCAAAAATAAATAAACATTAAAATTTTTTAGATTTTAAATAAAGGAAATTTATTTCCACAGAAAACAGTAGAACACCCATTTGGTTCCCCAACATTTACATGGGGGATATTATATTGGGACAGCTCTATGGAAACCACTGGAACTCTATCTCCCAGTTAGGGAGAAAATCAAAAGCAATACCACTCCTAGGCTTGATTTGGGGTAGTTTCCAAAATTCAGTGCCAAAAAGCTTCAATATGCACATGTGGTGATTCCCATCACATCCATGTTCTATAACCAAATGTGCCAATATTGAAGTCTAATGGGTCTTATAGAAAGAGTTAGGGTTGATCTGTATAAATTGGCAATCCCAATTTCTTCTATTATTCCACATCTTATCTTTTCTTGGAGCCAACTGATACGACTCATCTGCTTGAATACAGTTCTAGATCTTAATAATGCATTTTTTCCTTTCCAGTAAACACAGAACAACAGAAACAGATGGCTTTCACCTGACAAGAAAAGGCATTTATCTTTAAATGTACTGCCACAACCCAATCTGCAGGAACCAGGACTACCTCATCACCTCTTAACAGCCAAATAGGACTGAAAGAAATCTGAGTGAAACCCAGGAATCTCCAAGGACCCTCACCCATACTATCGGGAGCAGCAATAAATGAAACTACTACAATCCTCTTCAGGCGAGCATTAGTGTTCTAGATCCCTCAGGAATGAAGGCCTACACCAATTCTCCAGTTCCTTGATCTCCACTCAAGACCAAGAGCCCTAATCAGCTGGTCAAAGGTAAAAAAAAGAAAAAAAGAAAGAAAAGAAAAAGCATAGTTACATAGCCTGGTGACCAGACACAAAACAGAAGGTATTTCCCCATTATGACTTCTTTAAGCTACCATACAATTTTTTCTACTCCTTAATCTTAATTTTTAAAATTTTTCTTTCTCTTCTTTTCGTATAGGTCTTGAACACAGATTGTACATACATACCACTTAGTCTAAAGGCCGAATATTGGAACATGGTAATGACTCAATGACAAGAGAAAGGGATATCACCCAAAGATCCTGGACTTTTGCAGAGCCAGGGCTCCCTGAAAGTGTCTCTGAAGCAGTAGGTGCACATGGTTTATCTCCCACTGCAGATGGGTAGGAACACATGCTTGTGCAGTTAGTTATATGGGGACAGCTGCCACAGGTGAGGTATCAATGCTGAGTAGCTAAAAGATAAACATAGTAGCTATTTTTCTGTCAGCCCTATGTTTTCTACTCAGGATTCTTACAGGAAACTAACTCTCCTGTCTGACCACAGGCTGGCATGAAACCTAAGCTGACCCACTCAGAGTCTCCCTCTCAGCCTCACTCTCACTACCTCTCTCACGAGTCGGAATCTTGAATTCAGAAAAACACTTTAAATGCATGGTGTCCGATTTCAACAGGGATCTCAAGACTTAGGAAGGAATCCTTCTATATATCAAGTTGGCTTTGCCTACGATGATTTCAAGATGCCTAATACCATCTTTTCACTCTCTGATCACCCCAAAGAAAGTAGGGGTCATTACTGTTTCAACTTCCCGACCTGACCTGCAAATTTCTCTTCATCTGTATCCATTTTTACCCTCTCGCCTTCTGTCACAGTGAAAAAAAAAGTGCTCACACCTGTTTAAGGGTAACTCTTCCCTCTGCACACCTGATCCCATCTCTATCTTCTCTGAATTCCTGCTCTATTTTTTTTAAGATTTTATTTTTTTTACAAAATTTTTTTAATGTTTATTTATTTTTGAAACAGAGAGAGACAGAGCATGAACCGGGGAGGGTCAGAGAGAGAGGGAGACACAGAATCTGAAACAGACTCCAGGCTCTGAGCTGTCAGCACAGAGCCCGACGCGGGGCTCGAACTCACAGACCACGAGATCATGACCTGAGCCGAAGTCAGACGCTTACGGACTTGAGCCACCCAGGCGCCCCTAAGATTTTACTTTTAAGTAATCTCTGCACTCAACGTGGGGCTCAAACCTACAATCCCCAGATCAAGAATCACACACTCCACCTACAGAGCCAGCCAGGTGTCCCGTCCCTGCTCTATTATATCCTCCATGCCATACACTGAATTTTTCCCACTTCTCCTTACCCTACGCTGCCCCCCAGTTATTATCCTCCCTTCTTCCCTTCACAGCTAAGTTTCTTTAAAGAGCCATTAACGTGCAGTCTTCCGCACCTTCCACTCCTTCTCTCACTACAAATCTAGATTTTGTCACCATTGTGCCCACTCATCCACCCTCACCAAGAACACTAATGAACTACTTGCTGCTAAATGGCGTGGAAACTTCAGTCTTCATGTCACTAAACCTTGCCTCCCAGGTACCAGCCCAACTGGTTCTCCTTCCTCTCTGCCTGCCCTTCTCAGAATCTATTACTATCTACCCTTCCCAAACCTCCCCCTTTAATGCTTGTATGCTAAAGGTTATGGTCCTAAGGTTCCTGCCCCCTTATTCCACCTTCTTTCCCTGTGCATTTTCATGCATTTCCAGGGTTTCAAATACAACCAGCATACGGCTCACCTCAAAATCACTACCTCTATTCTGCCTACTAGACATTCCTTTCTCAAACAGAGCATGTCCCAAACTGCTCTCATCTACCTTCCACTCCCTAAGATCAACAATAATTATTCAACTGTAGTGTACCACCATTCAACAATGGAGCTTGTCAAAAATGCAGATACCTACACCTCCCTGTAATCCACCTCCCTCCAGGAAACATGACCTTATAGGATTTTATATAGGTGAAATAGAAAATCTTTATATATAATAATCACCCCCAGAATATGATAATGCTGGTGGTCCAAGTTTTGAGAAATAATAATTGGGGATTTTTTTTTCCTATGTGGGACACACACAGGAAATTATTTTTGTATAGTATCCTTGGGAAAACAGAGGGAACTGCTCACAGCTGGCCAAAAATTGGGAAGAAGCAAACTAGTAGCTGGTAACCCACTGGGGCTCTAAAAGAAATGAGTGAACAGTAGCCTATTAAGACAATCAATCAGGATAGTTGCCAACCAACTTGAGCTTCAGATAGTTTGGGCATAAATGAGTTTGAAATTGTTCTCTATGGCATATATTTTTGTAGTCTCAGCATTCTATGCTGCCAAATAATAAAGGAATCATAAGTTTTAACAGGCAGGAGATAAGGTTCATAATGTTTGAGGAAACTCTCAGAACACCCTCTGAGTAGAAGACTTTCCCATATCCTATCAGTGGAAGGGCAGGGCCCAGATTTTGCTTAGAAATAATTTGGGTGCTCAGTACAGCTTAGTACCTCCCATTCTTCTTTGTCAATATAATTTTCTTCTTTCGGGGGGGGAAAAAAGGAGGAGAGAGGGAAACAAACCACAAAAGACTCTTAACGATAGAGAACAAACTGAGGATTAGTGGAGGGAGATAGGTGGGATATGGGCTAGATGGGTGATGGGTATTAAAGAGGGCACATAGTGGGATGAGCACTGGGTGTTGTATATAAGTGATGAATCACTGAATTCTACTCCTGAAACAAATATTGCACTGTAGGTTAACTAAAATGTAAATTAAAAAAAAAAATTTTTCTCCTTTCACCTTGTCCCCAAGATTCTATTGTTTTTGTTACAGGAAAGGGAAATAAAATAACAAAAAAATGTAAGGGGACAATATTTATAAACACTGAACAAAAGAATGATTATAATAAGTTTTTTAAAAAGCTAATGACTATCTGGATTACAAAAAAGAAAAGAAAAAGCTCATGACTATAATCATTAAAACAGGGGCACCTGCGTAGCTCAGCCGGTTGAGCGTCAGACTCTTGATTTTAGCTCAGGCCATGATCCCATGATCATGGGATCGAGCCCCATGTCAAGTTCCATACAGCATGGAGTCTGCTTAAGATTCTCTCCATCTCCCTCTGCCCCTCTCCCCAGCTTATGCTCTCGCTCCCTCTCTAAAAAAAAAAAAAAAAAAAATTAAAAAATAATTATAATAATACAATTTCCAAATAGCAATGACATAGAACTAAAATGTTTTAAAGACTGCTTCAAAAAATATGAAGATGCAAAGAGGAGCAAATCGATATAAGAATAAGACAGAATGTTGTTTTCAGTATCATAATATGAAAATGAAAGTAATGATTTAATTATTTTTTCTACCATCCAATAGAACTAGAAAAATTTTTCCATTCTGGTATGAATGGCTTTCAGATTCAACTTTTAGAAAATAGAATTTTCTGGGGCTCCTGAGTGGCTCAGTTGGTTGGGCGTCCAGCTTCAGCTTGGGTCATGATCTTGCAGTTTGTGAGATTGAGCTCTGCGTCAGGCTCTGTACTAAGAGCTCAGAGCCTGGAGCCTGGAGCCTGCTTCGATTATGTATGTCTCTGTCTCTCTGTCTCTCTGTCTCTCTCTGTCTCTCTCTCTCTCTGCCCCTCCCACTTGTGCTCTGTCTCGTCTCTCGAAAATAAATAAACAATAAAAAAAAAGAAAATATAATTTTCCTTGAAAACAATTTCTAAAAAATTTCAAAATTAAAAATATTTTGGGACACCTGGGTGGTTCAGTCAGTTAAGTATCTGACTCTTAATTCTGGCTCAGGTCATAATCTCATAGTTCATGGGACTGAGCCCCATGTTTGGCTCTGTGCTGACAGCATGGAGCCTGCTAGAGATTCTCTCTCTCCCTTTTCGCCCCTCCGCCTCCTTTCTCTCGCTCTCTCAAATTAATTAATTAATTAAAATATTTTAGTGGCTCTACTTCCAAATAATATGACAGAATCAACACAAATCAAAAAAAAATAAAAAAAAGCAAAACAGAAGTAAAAACTATCTTTGTTAGCCTTGTTAGCCTGCTACCTAAATATTACTTATAAGGAAAACTACCTTAAAAATTAGGGCATAATTCTATAGTTCACTTACATTCTATAAAGTACATTTTTAAAAAGGAAGTCATTTTTATTTTATTTCTGTAAAGCTTTGCTCCAAGATGCATGGCCATAAGTTGCTTACCTTGTCCATTTCCAGTATTGTCAACATCAGCCAAACACAAACAGCCTTGATCAAATTCTTCTTTTTCTCCCAGAACAGTAGACCACCAATCCCGGGCTTTAAATAAAGACATTTTCGTTCACTATAAAAAGAAAGCATTTATTTATAGTAAAAATCTACTTCACACCATGAATTATGAATTAATTATTTCTTAAGGCATAGCAAATTAAACTTGGACAATGCTAAAACATTTCTGAATTTAACTTTAATTTTGTATTTTGCAAACATATGTGAAACCACAAATCAAATGGCTGGAAACATAATCAAATATTTTGCAATGCCATTGGAGAGTCAGTCTGAAAAATTATACGTGTATGTTGGGCCAATTCTCTCTTCTGGGACATGTAGTAGACAATGACACACAGTAACAAAAAAAATATTCTTTGTAGGATCAAGATTCAAATTCTAATAGCACTCGTTAGTACATAATTCCTTAGCAAAATACCTAATTTTCCTACAGTTTGGTCACTGAAAAGACTGCATCATCTCATGCCACAATGAGTTGCTGAGAAAAGCAAATGAAGTCAAACGTATCAAATGGCTAACACTGGAACTAGTATATTACAAGGACTCAAAAAGCATTCACACCCTTTCCCCATTCTAATTGTAGAAAGGCAAAATGGAAGACGAAAATGCACACCAAAAAAGAACCAGGAAAACCAGGTATAGGTGCATTTATACCACTATACCACTAACCATCTGTGACACTGGCAACCCATAAAACTTCTCTCTGCTTTGATTTCTCATCTAGAATAAGGGTATACCAGCAACACCTACCACAAAGTTACTGACATGGGTGAATGTGAATGCCCACTGGACCCCAAATTATAACACAAACATCACATAACCTGAGATTCTATGAAAGTTCGGTTATCCAACATAAATAAGCCTTTCCTTCATGCTACCCTGATTTATATAATAGGAAATACAGTCAATTTTCCTTATTTATAAAGACATTCCATTCTATAAGGTCACAGCAAACACTGAGTTAGTAAATACTGAACTATTGCCTCTAGGGGAAATAGAGAAGCTCCTGTGAGCCTCTAGTCACAACTTTTTCATCAACCAATCAATACATAACTTTGTTTTTTGTGTTTCTCTGTTTAAAACTACTTTAATATACTGTTGATTCATTAACATTCAACTCTACAGTCAGCAACACTATAACTCATATATTTGAAGGAAGCTTATCTGATACATGTATTTTCTCTGTAAGGTATATCACAGCCTTCTTGCACCTAATTAGAAACATTACATGGCACTTAAGCATTTTATATGGGGACGATTTTAAACAAAAATCAGAGCATATAAATAAACAAACAAATCCAAACAACAAAGATGTGGAAAACATGGCACTAAGTAGGCCACAAAAAGGACACTTATTTATAGTATAAGAGCTGAAACAAGAAGGCAAAGAATCACTGTGATTGATATCTTCCAGGAACATGTGTGTCAAGTGACTTAAATTTTTTTGCCACTCTGTGTATGACCATGAATGACCCAAAAGCACCATAAGTATTGACTCTGGTATCACAAATAAATTTTAGCAAACAGGTAAACTCACAAATATGGAATCTGCAAATAATGAGGATCAACTATACATTTAAAAAATGTAAATCAGGGCGCCTGGGTGGCTCAGTCGGTTAAGTGTCCGACTTCGGCTCAGGTCATGATCTCACCGTTCATGGGTTCGAGCCCCACATTGGGCTCTGTGCTGACAGCTCAGAGCCTGGAGCCTGTTTCAGATTCTGTGTCTCCCTCTCTCTCTGCCCCTCCCCCACTTGCACTCTGTCTCTCTCTGTCTCAAAAATAAATAAACATTAAAAAAATTTTTTTTTTTTTAATGTAAATCAGGGGCTCCTGGATGGCTCAGTCGGGTAAGCATCTGACTCGGCTCAGGTCATGATCTCACAATTCTTGGGTTCAAGCCCCGCATCAGGTTCTGTGCTGACAGCTTGGAGCCTGGAGCCTGCTTCAGATTCTGTGTCTCCCTCTCTCTCTGTGTCCCTCCCCTTCACACTCTGTCTCTCTCTCTCTCTAGAATAAACATTAAAAATAAATTAAAAATAAAAAATGTAAATCAATCTGCTTCTTAAAGTATGCCTTCCGCATAGGTTAATCATAGAAAGCAAGACCACTTGCTTTCCTTAAGTTGGCCAAGAAATTAGCTGAGAATCATGCAGTGGTGAAAAGTACAGACTCCGGAGGTGGTCAGTGTTAATTTGGATATATGTTCCATATAAACCAAGAAACCAAGGACAGGTTACTAAGAGTTACCAAAACTCCCCATACTTCAGCTTCCTCATCTATAAAATAAAGAGGAATAAATAAGAATGCATAGAGGCAACCTATGAAAAGGAAGAAAATATTTGCAAATTATATATCTAATTATGATTAATATACATAATACATAAAGAACTCATGAATATCAACAAAAAACATTTTAATGGGCAAAGGACTTGAATACACATTTAACCCAAGAAGAGTTACATGGTCAAAAAGCATGTGAAACAATGTTCAACATCACTAATCATTAGGGAAATGCAAATCAAAAACATAATGAAATACCACCTCACACCCATTAGGACAGCTACTACAAAAAAAACCAAAAAACAAAAAACCCAGAAAATAACAAGTGTTGGCAAGGATGTGAAGTAACTGAAACCCTTGTGCATTGTTGATGAAAATCTAAAATAGTGCAACCACTATGGAAACTGTATGGTGGTTCCTCAAAAAATTAAAAATATAAATTACCATATGATCCACTCATTCTACTTCCGGGTATATATCCAAAGGAAATGAAAACAGGAGTTCAAAGAGACATTTGCACTCTTATGTTCACAGCAGCATTATTCACAATATCTAAAAGGTAGAGGCAACCCAAGTTGGGTTGTCCATCAGTGGATGAGTGGATAAACAAAGTGTGGCATATACATACAATGGAGTATTATCAGTCTTAAAAAGGAGGGAAATTCTGACACATGCAACATGAATGAACCTTAAGAACATTATGTTAAGTGAAATAAACCAGTCAAAAAGACAAATACTGCATGTTTCCACTTATATGAGGTACCTAGAGTAGTCAAATTCATGGAGAGTAGAATGGTGGCTGCCAGGGTTGGGGTGAGAGAGAAGTGGGAAGCTTTAGATGATGGGTATAGAGATTCAGTTTTACAAGGTGAAGAGTTTTGGAGACTGGTTGCACAAAAATGTGAATGTACTTAACACTACTGAACTGTACACTTAAAAATGGTTAAGATGCGGCACCTGGATGGCTCGGTCAGTTAAGCATCTGACTCTTGGTTTTGGCTCAGGTCATGATCTCACAGCTTTTGAGCTCAACCCCCACATCAGGCTCTGCACTAACAGCACA